AGCAACTTCCAAAAAAAAATGGAATTTCAGAAAGCACTAAATATAGATATATGCCGTTATGTAGCCCATATAATGTATGTCCGACATAAAAACGTTTTCGTCAATTGACGATTGTTTAGGCCAGCGTATGTATTAGGGTAAATCTGTGTGAACATAGAAGGAAATATCACACTGGCCACAAGCGTCGCTTGTCGTGCTGCCTTATTCGTGTGTCTATTGACACCATTAGAGACACATTCTTAATAAATTGATTTGAGTGTCTACAACAGTGGTTCTTAACCTTTCTAATGCCGCGACCCCTTTATACAGTTCCTCATGTTGAGGCGACCCCCAACCACAATTATATATTGTGAAATATTTATTTCTAATTACAAATAAATAGGATTTTGTTTTGAAGCGTAGTGAAGCATGGTAACAGTCTTAATATAACAACAGTAAACTATATTCATACATTTTGCGACAGTATGCGCAAAAAGCCAACGTTAGTGCGAAGGTTGAGATTGCTTCTTTCTTAACAGATCAGAAATGCTCGGGGCATTCTTTGCAAGGGCACAATGAAGATGATCTTCCACAACAAGTCTACATTTAAACTTGATTACCAACAAGCTTGAAAAACATGTTTCACAAAGATATGTTGTTGGAAATGGATGAAGAGGGCGCAACTCAGTGTCAGACAGAACAGGATATGACTGCAAACACTTGAGCCAGAATTTTGTAACTGGCATTGTAGAGAAATCAGTTCTCGCTGCATCGCTGTTAATAAGTTCAATGAACTCCTCTTGTGTCGACTCAGGAAGATCTTCAACTTTGACCGTGAATGGACTTCTGGCAAGTGCAAATGGAGTGGCAGGTAGATTTGGAAAATACGATGAAATTTCGTCTGCAAGGATGTGCAAGTGTTCCATCACAGAATTTATCATCGTAATCCTTTTGTCTAGTTCTATGTCATGTTCCTCAACAAAAAAAAGAAAAACGAAGTGATACGTTCGGCAAGATGTAAATTTTATTTTCATGCAATTTTTTTTTTTTTTTTTGCCAAAGCTGAAAATTCATTTGAAACTATCGCATCTTTTCAGAAAAATCGAATCATGTTGCATTTTATCCTTGCAATGATATATCAGCTCATTCAAGGTGGCAATGATGACACTCAAGTAAGCTTTTTCTGCAGTTCAATTATATCACTAAAAAGTGCTTTGAACTGCGGTCTTGCTTTCTGATTGAAAAATCGTCATGAGTTTATCACGAAGCTCAAAAGCATGTTTTAAAACGTTTCCTTTGGACAACCATCTCACTTCAGTGTGAAATAGGAGAGCATTGTTCGACGCACCAACTCGTTGCACAGTTCGCCTTCACAAAATTGATAGAACTGATGACGCTTTTCGTTACTTCTTGTAGCTCTTGTGGCAGCGTCTTCGTTGCTAATATTTGCCATGGAATCAATCAGTGTGTTCCGATGACATTTGGTGACTCATTCAGTACTGAACGTTGAAATCCAGATCGACATCCTAGCATAGCTGTAGCACCACAAACCTTTTCCCAAAAAGATCTTATGATAGACATCTTAGAATAGCTAGAGCACCATCTGTGCAAAAACCACAAACTTTTTCCCAAGAGATCTTTTGATTTTTCGGGGGAAAAAACTGTGTCTAATACATCACGTGAAATATTTGCTGTTTTTTTTCAAGAGGTTTGCAAAAAAAGAAAATCATCTTTAATGACGCCATCATTAATATACCTCACGTAAACTAGTAACTGTGAACAGTTTGCAACGTCTGTAGATTCATCAAGCTGGATACTAAATATTGGGAGTGGAGCAGATTTAATTTCCTGGATTACCTGATAAAGATAAGTCAACAGTCATGTCATCTATTCTTCCGCGGACAGTGTCGTTAGATAAGGAAATTGCACTCAATTTCGTAAAAAATTCGTCTCCGATTCTAACGCGAACAATGTCTTTGGCCACTGGCAACAGTAAATCCTCAGCAATTGTTTGAGGTTTCATAGCTCTGGCGATTCTGAGTGACACCAAATATGAAGCTTCAACTGCTGCTACGCTTTGGTTGTGGTACTTGCCACCAGTGTCAAGTCTTGCTTTCTGGAGTCCATCGGCTTTACTCTAAAATACTTGGTATCCTTGCCGGCAAAGCTCGGATGGTTGCTATCAAAATGCAGGTTTAGCTTGTTCAGCTTCATAGATATTCGGCTAATGGAACTTGACAGCAAATAAAACATTACGGTACTGTGTATTGATTGAACTTTGTTATCTTATTGGTCTGTGTTGTTGTTATGTTATATGACTGGACGTGGCGAGTTGCCTTTTTTGGTTGTTTTGTTTTTTTTTGTTTTTTTAACTTGACTGTGTGAATATTGGTTAGAGAACTGGATTGATTGCTCATGTCATGTGAGGTGTCAAAATAATGCAGAAGGTTGAATAAAGGTTAGTTGTTACACAGACCTAATACTTGAGTTGTTATCTTGTTATACTGTTACAAAAAATGCGTAGAAATCGTTTATTTTTTTAACTACCCTTAATAACTCGTAATTTCAAAAATAATTTAACAAATTCGCGGCAAGATTTAACCAAAGATATAATGTAAAAATCAATAGAATTGATATATAAAAATGTTACGGAGTCTAAGATAAGATTTTTTTAAAAGTCTTAGAAAGCTTTCTTTTTTGTTTTTTTTAAAAGGGTATCCGTTTAAAGGATTCAAACACAAAACCGCTCCGTTGAAAGGTGGACTTTACAAAGAAGAAACCACGGCGCCATTGATATTTCTATATTTTATGGAGACGCAAAACATGAATTTTGTTTGCTTCTTATTTCATTTGAATAAGTATTATATGGAACTTGGCACATAGAGTTGATGCCGACGACAACACTTTCTTTCAAATTTTCAGCCCCAGCCGCCAACCCCCAAAAATCAGTTTTCCTCTTTTTTTTTTTCCCAAGTGATATGAAGAGGAAAATTCCCGATAACTGCGCTAAATGAGATTCTTAAATATCACAAGTGTGACGGGGCGTACTATTTTGTTTTTTGTTTCTCTGAATTAGTTGGTGAAAACAACATGTGGTGTAAAAGTGGTTGGATCATTAAAATATTAATATAGTTCAGGGACGCGAAAAAAATGTGCGGTTGCAAGCCTTAGGGTGGGGAGTTGGGGAGCACTAATTGCGATTCTTACAAAATGTCACGTGTATGCATATTTTGACAAATGTTCAGCCCCATCCCCCATCTCTCGATATTACAACTTATAAAGGATTTAAACGAAAAAAAAATGTTTAGGGGTTGTTTATTTAAGTAGATATTATCCTATTCGAGCGAAGGTGCTACTACAAAACTACCATCAATTTAGAGTCGATGCAATTCCTTTTCTTAGTGAGAACTTATGTTGTTATTTTTGCGAGTCAATTAATATGTTTAAGGTTTCTGAAATATGTGTAGGTGTTCATCGCCTCTGAATATCAGTCTACAATCAGTTACACCAGTCGAGTAGTCTGGCAGAAGGGCTGTCGGGGTGGGGGTGGCAGAAATGGTGGTCATCAGATGGTTTGTATGTGGAATAAAGTTTAGACAATAGAGGATCGGATTGTAGGATCAGATTGTAGGATTAGCCTGTAGGATTGGGTTGTAGGATAGGGTTGTAGGATTGGGCTGTAAGATTGATTTGTAGGATTGGGTTGTAGGATCGAGTTGTAGGATTAGGGTGTAGGATATGGTTGTAGGATCTGGTTGTAGGATTAGGTTGTAGGATTGGGTTGTAGGATTGGGTTGTATGATTGGGGTGTAGGATTGGGTTGTAGGATTGGGTTGTAGGATTGGGTTGTAGGATTGGGTTGTAGGATTGAGTTGTAGGATTGGCTTGTAGAATTGGGTTGTAGGAATGGGTTGTATTATCTGGTTGCAGGAATTGGTTGTAGGATTAAGTTTTAGTTGTAGAATTGGATTGTAGGATTGTTTTTTTTTAGATTTCGTTGTAGGATAGGGTTGTATGGTTGGGTTGTAGTATTGTGTTGCAGGATTGGGCTATATGATGAATTTGTAGGATTTGGTTTTAGAAAATGGGTTGTAGAATTGTAGGATTGGGTTGTAGGATTGGGTTTTAGTTTTAGGATTCGGTTTTATTTGTAGGGTTGGGTTGTAGGATAGTTTCTTCAGATTTAGTTTTCAGATTGGGTTGTAGGATTGTGATGCTGGATTGCAAGATTGGATTGTAGACTTGGATTGTAGGGTTGGGTTTAGCATCCGTTTGAAGGAGTGGGTTGTATGATTTGGTTCTAGTTCTAAAATTGGGTTGAAGTTGCAGGAATGGGTTGGAGATATCTGTTGAGAAAAACATCAAGAGTGTAGTTATAATGCTTGTGTAATATCTTTTCCTTGAATCTGGGCCGGGTTTTCACGCGTTAACCTGTAACGTTCTATTTACAGCCTTTTATTCTGGCAAAGACTACATGGAACAGGAAGATATCGAGAATGAAACTTTGTCGTAATAAAAGTTGAGCATGCTGCAACCATTCCAATTATAATTAAAATAGTTCCATTTTTAGTCCATTTGCAATAGAAGGGGCACGAAAAAATGTGTAGGCAATTTGGTTCTCCTTTACAAACTTTAGATGTATGAGAATCTCACAAAAATATTTAGGCTTTTAATTAATCTATAACTTAATTGTGTAATTTTTTTTATATTTTCAATTAACAAGGTCAACTATTTACCGTTGAATTTTTTTTTTTCATTTCAACATTTTCTCACGTTTGTAACTTATCGTTGAAATAAAAAGTGCATATTCCTTACTTCGTGTACTGGATGTCATTTGTAAAAATAACAGCTGCCATATTGGATGACAAAGTCTATTGAAATACAAAATATTGAAAATTGAATTACGCATGACCAACGCCTTAAAATGTCGAATCAAAAGCAATCACTCTACTGAGAAAATTTGTGATTTTCCGTTTATTTATATTGATTATTTTCATGTAAAGACTATATGCCATGGTACACGGAAGGGCAACGCTTACCTGTTATGACGTAAGCAACAATTCTATAAATAGATTTTAGTTCCTACATACAAGCGCACAATTTATCACAAGTATTTAACACGGTGCCTGTAGCGGGTAGACAGTGTACGTTTGTTGAACATGTATCACGGTTGGACAATGTCGCCTGACTTGACTTATATCGCTGCCTTAACTCTGCATCTACTTACACAGTCAGCTGTACAGACACAATCTCTGGACAACAGTTGTGATAAAAACATACCATCCAGGGCTATGCCTGCTGTCCAATTATTTGGTAGAGCCTATGCTGTTTCGGACATACAGCCGACAGTTTGTGGTGAAGGCGAGTATCTGGACTGGTTTACTTGTAAACCTTGTGAAGATGGAACTTTCATGACGCAGAAAATGGCAGAGACTAAAAAATATGCCTTTTGTCAGAAATGCTACCAGCCAGGAATGGTAAGTCAATTTTATTTCTAAATCAATTTTTCACTATAACTAGGGGGAAATATCACTATTTGTTGAGTGGACACAGTTTTAGCAGCTATTATGTCATAAGAAAAGTATTGACTTTGAGCTATGGCGTGAAGAGGTAGGTGGGAATGTGTGTGGTCTGCCCCTGGGGACACTTTCAGGGGGTGCCATTGTCTGTGCACTTCTCATTCTATGTCTGGCTTATAATTATATCTTTTTACTCTGTATGGGTTGTAACTTTCTTTTTAGGCTTAACTCCCTGTAACTGCTTCACTATCGTTACCGTTGAGAGGCTGCCGTATTACAGAATAACTTATTTAAACAAACTGGTATTAGAAATATAGTGGAAGTCGCCTGTGCAAGGGGTCGATGGTTGGATTGCTAAATGTTAATGCTAAATAAATATTAAATATTGTTTTCTTAAGACATGAGACTAACGTATGATTATTTAAGACATAAAAATTATTAAGATTATGTTATATAATGGTCGCTAAATTTATATTATTATCAATTTTCTTGTATTCAGTTCGAGATTGTTACAGAACCGTGCACCAAGACAAGAGACGCCAAGATCATGTGTGAAGACGGATATTACAGATGCGAAGTACCGGGAAAACCCTGTCAGACTGAATGTAGACGGTGCGATGTGTGCGGTCTGGGCATCAACATGTTCAAGAACTATGAAGTTCGTGAGTGCAGTGGCGACCAAAACACAATCTGTTGCCACAGAGAGAATATGGTGCTAGTTAATGGTGAATGTGTCATGAAAACAACGGTGGCTACAACGACCACATATACCGAAACAACTTCAGGATTATCGTCGACAACAACTGAGAGCGGAGTTAGGAGCCAGAATTCAGCTATGGGGACTGCAGCAGTTTTGCACAACAATTCCCAGCTACATTTGATTGGATTATTATTTCTCATTCTTTTTTACCTATTTATTGGAATTTCCTGATCATGTGACCTGCACATCTTTATCTCGAGAAACCGACAAATATATATATTTGTAATGTTACCCTGCCCCTTACCCACATGTACAACAACGGTTGCCGGCCGTTTCATGTCCAGTGGCTCCATAGGGATACGCAGAGTAGCAAGAGTTGGTGCGCGATAATAACAAAAAAAAGAAAGAAAAAAAAGGCTACAGCATCTGTTTAAAAAAAACTTTATATACAGTATATAAAGTGGAAAGAGAAAGCCGCCTAAAATCAAGTGCAACCCGGGCTGAGGGCCCTCTGCTCTCTCTCTTCCTACGGCCGCTAGGCTGTAACAAACAGAAACATGTCTCTCTTGCGCATGTGATTGAATAACATCGTCATTAAATTAAATACATAACCATGACAACGTCCTCAACAAGCTGGTAGAGACATACCCCATGGAAATGTTCTCAACAAGCTGGTAGAGATATACCCCATGGAAACGTTCTCAACTAGCTGGTAGAGACATACCCCATGACAACGTCCTCAACAAGCTGGTAGAGACATACCCCATGACAACGTCCTCAACAAGCTGGTAGAGACATACCCCATGACAACGTCCTCACCAAGCTGGTAGAGACATACTGCATGTAAACGTTCTCAATTAGCTGTTAGAGACATACCCCATGACAACGTCCTCACCAAGCTGGTAGAGACATACTGCATGTAAACGTTCTCAATTAGCTGTTAGAGACATAACCCATGACAACGTCCTCAACAAGCTGATAGAGACATACCCCATGACAACGTCCTCAATAAGCTGTTAGAGACATACCCCATGGAAATGTTCTCAACTAGCTGGTAGAGACATACCCCATGGAAATGTTCTCAACTAGCTGGTAGAGACATACCCCATGGAAATGTTCTCAACTAGCAGGTAGAGACATACCCCATGACAAAGTCCTCACCAAGCTGGTAGAGATATACCCCATGACAACGTCCTCAACAAGCTGTTAGAGACATACTCCATGACAACGTCCTCACCAAGCTGGTAGAGACATACTCCATGATAACGTCCTCACCAAGCTGGTAGAGATATACCCCATGACAACGTCCTCAACAAGATGTTAGAGACATACTCCATGACAACGTCCTCACCAAGCTGGTAGAGACATACTCCATGACAACGTCCTCAACAAGCTGGTAGAGATATACCCCATGACAACGTCCTCACCAAGTTGTTAGAGACATACTCCATGACAACGTCCTCACCAAGCTGTTAGAGACATACTCCATGACAACGTCCTCAACAAGCTGTTAGAGACATACTCCATGACAACGTCCTCACCAAGCTGGTAGAGACATACCCCATGACAACGTCCTCAACTAGCTGTTAGAGACATACCCCATGACAACGTCCTCAACAAGCTGGTAGAGACATACCCCATGGTAATGTTCTCAACTAGGTGGTAGAGACATAACCCATGGAAATGTTCTCACCTGATAACGACACTGGTGGCGTAACCTAGGTAACATCACTTTCACCACATTTCAACTGTTTTTAATATAAAGGCGGTTGCTTCCAAATTCTGAAAAGATCTAACTGGCATTAGATTGATTGAAAACTATGTAAATATGTAAATATGTAAATGTGTAAATATAAATAAACGTATGTCCTCTATCAATATCGATAATATGTATTGTTACTACTCATTACGTATGGTTATTTTGATTGACAAAGATGCATATACATTTTGTTATAAACTATATACTTTGGCATCGACATTGACATTGTGTTATAACGATGATGTATTGGTGAGGAAAAGTGAATTATGTGTGAATAGTGGTTGTCGTGGAAAGTAGACGAAGACTTAATCCATTAGATTACAGCTGATCTAAGAGATGTAAGGGCAACGTACTGAAGTTTTAAAATATTTACGGATGACCGAATGATTGAGTGAGCAATTAAGTTACAGATTAATTGAATGAAAGATGCAATAAGAGTGGCAGACTGATTTCAGTGAAATATGTAGACTGACAGACTAAATTGTTTTTCAATTGATATTAAATGGTATATATTAAATACACTTTTAATTGTGTTATCTTCTTCCTTTCTCTATCATTCTATTTTAACTGTAGATTTATATTTTATACATTTAAATAGTATATCTCAGTCAGCATTCCTGGCACTAAGGGACAATTTAGCATTCACAGCAACTGGGAATTTTGAAACTGAAAGCATTTTTTTTTTTACAAGATTCGACGTATTCCTTTTAATTGGGTTCTATGTAATGGTGGAAATGAAAGCAAAACTAACAACAACATTTTGATGACATTCGCTTTTCTTTTCGTTTCTATATCTGGGATATTTACTTCCTTTTTTTTGATAGGTCGGTAAAACTAAGTAACAATTTAAACCTAAAGAGTTATAAGTGCGTGAAATTCAATGATTTGGGGGGGGGAGGGGGGAATAGTTAATAGATAAATACAACTATTTACTACTTTAGAAGTTAAGGTAACAGGTACGAAGAACTACGTAATATTTGTAAGAGCTAATTTAAAAATTAAGGTGATAGTTATCTAAAACTAGAAGCCATATTTGAAACTTAAGCCAAGTTACGTCCAACATATCATGACTCATGACAAAACAAGGAAGTTATACGCCTGCAAGTTGTGTTGTGTTTACTTTAAACGTGTGTTTAAATAGCGTTAACATTCGCGCTTTTGAGACAAATAAAAAAACAACTCGGGTAAATTAGCTAAACCTGACATACAATGAACGCCTCCTGATCTAGTTGTACAGTTCTGTGTCATGGCATGGCATGGTATGGTTCGTTGACTGAATAGTAAACAACCTTCACCAGCACACTGTAGCCTAGTGGTGTTATAGCGCTATATCTATAGACACATTATAGATATTATAGGTCAGGGTTCTTTAACCCACTGATCTTCTAGCCTCGTAAGGGTACCAGGGTTGTAAAGATTTGAGCAGGACCCCCGTTAAAATGCCCACAAACATGTTTAAGTTCTAAAAGTAAACGGCCAATTGAATATACGTATGAGAAAAACACGTCTGCTATCTGCAGGACTCATCTGCGCGTGAGGTTCATTGTGAGGAATGAGAGGTGGAGACGGTGGTGACAGCTTTGATAACTAGCTTTGACAGGTTTCTTCTTTCAATGCAGAGCTCAGATCTTTTGTTACAGATGCACCAGAACTTTTCTTATAGATGTACCAGAGCTTTTCTTACCGAATTACCAGAGCTTTTCTTACAGATGCACAAGAGCTTTTCTTGCAGATGTTTCAGAGCTTGCTTTTCAACAGTTTCAATGTGCAGCTTTAAGGAAAGTTGGAAGCTCAATCTGTGATAAGCATTAAAATTTGAAGGCATTTCAATCAAAATCATACATCAACACTAAACACGTGAAGGGGAAAAAGTCCGTCCTCTCTCGACACAACTCAAAATTTGTTGACAGAAATGAACCAGCAGTTGCATGTCAAAGCAACATTGGCGTTGATTGTAAATGTTGTAAAAGACGTTTCGGATTAGATTTAAAAACTTCATCTCCGTGCAGCTGTGGCGGGATCAATTCTGTTAAAAGGGAATTAATTTTTTATTCAATTCACCAAAAAGCGCTGTCCAACCCCAAAATAGGACTCCCTGAAAGATGCAGTTAAGCCTTACAAACTTCTATGGGTGTACTATCTCTGACACAAAATAACATCTTAATCGCAGTGAGCATGCTTTCAAAATGGCAACCATACATCGAAGTGAACAGAACCCCCCCCCCCCCCTTTCCAAAAAAAAAAAAAAAAAAAAAGATCTGAGATCTTCATTCGGATCAGACGACCTGATGCACAGTTGCATCACTTGTTAGGAGTAACAACAATGGAACCGGATAACGGCCACCTCCTAAGATAAAAGCAGGTGCATGCTTCCTGTTTAAACACCAATAAGATCATATTCATAGAATGTTCTTCATATTACAAACGCGTTTGTTCTTTCTTGGTGTTTTTTTTGTTCTAAATATACGAAATTTTCCGTTGGCATAGGGATTCTTTGTGAAATGGTGTCAAACTATTGTCCAGCCCCGACAGTGTCTGAGGACCAGAGCACTTGCCCCCCCCCCTCCCCTCCCATCGGGCCACGTTTTAAATTTTCAGGACACCTGATATAGGAACTATAGACTGTGAAATTCATAATGATATACTAAAAATAGACTTGATTTTTTCGTAGAAAGTTGGAGGTAAACACGCAATAAGCTGAATTAGTTCTAGAAGGGATTAGTCTCAAAGCAGTCTCGTGTGAAACTACACCCATATGCGTAATTTTTTTTGTAGTTGAACGTATTTAACTTACAGAAAAACGAGACTAAAAATACTTATTTTTTCTAAATTTGTTAGAGACAACTTGAGAACATAATATACAATCATCCTGGTTACAATCATCGTGGTACACAATCAAATTTGATAAACAATACGCGTTGTTTTTTAATCACATTTTTATACAATCATATTGGCATACAATCACCATGATATACAATAATATTGGTATTCAGTCATATTGGTGTACAATCATATTGGTATACAGCATCATGGTACTCAATCAACGTTGATAAACAAATCATCTTTTTTTTTCCCTTTATATTTGTATGCAATGATATTGGTATACAATCAACCTAATATACAATCATACTAGTATATTATCATATTGGTATGCAATCATATTGGTATATTATCATATTGGTATTCAATTATATTGGTATATTATCATATTGGTATACACTCATATTGGTATATTATCATATTGGTATACACTCATATTGGTATATTATCATATTGGTATACACTCATATTGGTATATTATCATATTGGTATACAATCATATTGGTATATTATCATATTGGTATACAACCATATTGGTATACTATCATGGAAAAGGTCCCATATTTTAAATAGGCGGCAACGACATTTATCCAATGCTCTGGTTGTATGGCTAACCTATTCATTGCTAATCTATTAATTGCCAATCTATTAATTGCCAATCTATTCATTGCTAATATCTTCCTTGCTAATCCATTATTTTTTTAATTACTAATCTATTCATTGCTAATCTATTCATTGCTAATTTATTCATTGGCAATATATTTATTACCAGCCTATTCATTGCAAATCTATTAACTACTAATCTATGCATTGTCAATGTATTCATTGCTAATCTATTCATTGCAAATATATTCACTGCTAATACACTTAAAGCTTTTGAAATCTGCAATCCTCAGATTGTTTTTTAAGTCAAAAAGTACATTGCGACATAGAAGATAAAAAAATGTACGCTAATTATCAATGAAGAATTACTGTCAGGTCATCAGAGGGGTTCAAGCAGGGATACAGACTTCTTACCCTACGGGGAAACCCGAAGTTCAAACCATAGCCTACTTTAATGGGCTTTTTAATAATATTTTTAAATATGTTTGTCATTGTATGTGTAATGTGTACGTTACCGTATCACATACTGCAATGCGTGGTAAAGCTACCTGTCACTAATGGCAACAAGCGACACGGTGAGCCTTTCTGTACTACGCACAGAAATACAGGTGTTAAATTACAAAGGCATCTCTACATCGCGTTCATCTGTCCGTAATACTTGAGGATGTGTCGACTAATGGAACGCGAGTAAAAAAATATCGGGCCTGATTCCCCGTAAGAAGTAACTGACGTTCAGTATATCCGTCTCAAGTGTAAACACTTCCTTATATTTCTAATTATAGCATGCACACCTTTGTTATTTCTTAGAATGTTAAATGGTGTAGCTTAGCTGGAAGAATATTTTGGACACTTATAAACTTTTTAAAACTCACCCAGCTTTCCTGTTGTTGTTTTGTTGTTGTTGTTTTTTTTTTTTTTTTTTTTTGGGGGGGGGGGGGGGGTTTTTTTTTTTTTTTTTTTTTTTTTGGTGTGGGGGGGTGGGTGGTGTTTTTTTTTTCTTCACCACACTTTTTAGGACCATCGTAATTTTTTTTCTAAGAAAAATTAAGTATAAAATTTACCGAAACAAATAAAACTTTTATTTATATTAAAAAAAAACGTAAATGAAAATAAGGCTTAAGAAATATGCTGGAGAAAGTAGGACAGACTTATGACTGACCAACGCGTCAGGTGAAGTGAGTGGCTGCGTTGTCATTTATTGTGGGAGTGGCGGGAAAAGAAATCCATCAAAATGTGATGGATAAAGTATCTGGGGAAAATGTAGAGGCTACACTTCTCTTTTAACCGGTGCATACTTTAACTCACAAACACAATGACAGGACACAGCAACCAAACAACTGTTACACATTAACAGAACGGCAAGGTCGAAACAATGCAGAGACACAACATCACTTTTGGAAATGAGATTTTATGGGTTAAAACATTTTACTATTGAAATGTATTAATTTGTTATCTTCTCATTGTATATTATTTTAAGTTCAGAATTTCTATCTTGGCTCGTCACGCCCACAGGACAAGTCAAAAGAACATGACTAAGGCATGCATTTATTTCAAGGAAACGTTTCATGACGTGCACCCTTGATCATCAGAGTTCAAATAGTAAAGCTACATTAACAATAGGTTGAGGACCGCTGATTCATTTAGTTCACAACTGATCATTTAACATCAGAGTCTACTTTGTTTTTATTTTTACCACAGGAAGAATGTGCACGTATATCATATACAACAGATTAAAATGATGCACAGATAATAAAAAACAACAAAATTTGTTTTTGTTTTTTTTAAGATGATGCACTAATAAAATTTTCTTATTTTTTTTTTAATTCAATTTTAAAAATGAGGTATCGATGAAATCGTTTTAATAAGTTTCATTAAAAATATGAACATATAATACAACGTTTAGTTAAAGATAAAACAAGGCTTTTAGAAATCATTCAAATAGAGGTATATTAATAAAGTGTTGTATACGATTTAGTCAAACAAAGGCTGCTTTGATATAAGAAAAAAAAAATTTTCTGTAAACAAAAAATGAGGCACTGAGAATTGTTTTGAAGGTATCAGTAAAAGTAATGCACAGATAAGTTAAGTTCCTTGAATGGACAATCTTAATAAGTTGCGTCTTTAAGGAGAAAGATAAATATTGAATTGCCTAATACGTATAATAATCACGTTATTTTCTGTGTTATTGTCAAAGTAATTGTACGTGCGGCTATCAATATTGTGTTCCTTAGCTAAATTAATATTAATGTCCAAGTTAATTTTTAATGTTCTTAATGTTTTAATGACATTTTAAAACAATGTAATATCAATGTAATATCAATGGGTTTTTTTAAAATTCAAAGTTAACAACAATGTTATTATCAATGGTATAATCAATGCTGTTATGTAGCTTTACACGTGAACTTCTTCGACTGACTAGAGACATGAAAATGATGTTTGAATTTCAACGTGGAAAGCGGATAGGATATTTGAATGTTGCTTCTCTTACCGAGTGACATCCAGGTTTGTTAAGTGCTGGATGTTTGTGTTTGAGCCATACAGTGAAAAAGATAAACTGTTTAAAAAGTGCAACCTTTGTTGTATGTGTTCACACATGTTTTGTAGCTCACAGCATATCAATGATGTAATGAAGCGGTTTTTTCTTCTTACAGGTAGCTGCGCAATAACACTTATTTATTACTTGGGGCATATCTTGATCTGTCTGTTTCCCTCCTTACCTTTCCGACAGGCCTGCGTCAAAAAGGTAGCTTAAAAACGATGTTGTATGTTTGTTCGTGGCACCATAGCTTTGAATAGTCACCAGCTTAAAAAAATAACTTTAGTAGCCATGGCATTTAGCGTATAACAAGATATTCTGGTCACATTTTAGAATTTTTTGCAGCATATTTTAGAGAAAAGTGGTTACAGGCAACAAAAGGCAGTTCGCGTTGTATCAAGAAAATATTGCACACAGCAAGGGGTCGAGAAATTTGTTTGACATGGCATTTAGCATTGTATTGAGAAGGGTGGACTTGTTTCAGAAAAAATTATGTAATACAGTTTTGAGAGAGGGCTGATATCATGTCTATTGGGCAGCGCTGATTTGAGCCTAGGTAACCATCCAATCAAAACACTGAATGCTGACATGTGACTTAGGAATCTTGGCTGGGTTTAGCAAATATGATTAAGGTTTATTTTAAATCTCATAATTTCCCAAATGACAATGGAATGTAATAGAGTTTAAGCTAAAAAAAGATATCTTTGCATGATTGATGCATAAATCAACATTACAGCAGGGTGTGATACACAGCTTTATAGTAAAGAAGATAAAGGGCTAAGGAGGGTAGATATTTAGTTATATTACTGCCCTTTGACCCTTGATGTCCATCACCATTGTGTAAATGATCGTAAGCCATTACAGTTTGCGTGGTGAAAGTAGTCTGTGTTGTGGGAGTGGATGGTGTGGTTGGCGCAGCTGTAGTCGGAACAGTACCTTTCCGTACACATGAGCCGTTTATGACCACCATGCTGTCCGTTGGACAACATACAGTATTCTGGTAGCCGCCACACTCTAGACCCACAAAGTTGTGAAACATGTAGACTCCCACACCGCACGTGTCGCACAGTCTGCATTCAGATCTGCACCGTTCCTCCGGGTCTTCGAATCGGAAATACCCGTCCTCGCACATAATTTTAGCGTCCCTTGTCCTCGTGCACGGCTCTGCTACGATCTCAGCCTACAAGTGGATGATGATAAATAAAAGACCATGAAGAATTTGAAAGGCAGCACAGCCATGTAAAAGATGCGAGTTTTATGTAAAGATAAAATAAAGATGAAATAACTGACTACATCGTATCATGAGTTAAAAACCGCCCCATTTTAAAGTGGCCTTGGCATGGCTGCCGATGTTTCGTTTATATTTAGGTTTTTTGGGGGTTTTTTCGTCGTAAAGTACGCTTTACAAAATTTATGCAAAATTTATAGGATGTGGTTACAACTAAAATATTGATATGTTTCCATCTTGGCCGAGTACTTGAAATTAGAAATTAGTCAACATTGAAGAAGGAAAGCCGCCAACATGTTGAATGCACTTTGTGGTGTAAATGGATGCAATCCGTCTAAGGGAAATTTTATCGGCCTTATGAGCTTCAACAAATCACAGCTCTCCGCGTACGTCATTAAATGTTCGTAAATTTTTTAACATTAAATCTATTATTTTTCATCCTTTAAAAATTAGCTATTATGGATTGTTTTAGAAAATAATGAAAAAATGAATATAAAAAATTTTTTAAAAAGTTTTATAAAGTGTTCAGGTCAAACGCTCAAAAAAAAAAAACCGACTGAAAAATAAACTTACAATCTGGAATCTGCACAACTAACTATGACAGAACTGTCATGAACGTTATCTCACGTCAGTGGTAAAAAGTCGTTACGAATAAAAAATTTAAAAAAAACATACTCTTCTCCAACACATTGTGATTGGAGATGAAACAAAACTTGATTTGATAAAACTTGATGACCTTACCAGCTCTGGTTGGTAACATCTGACGCATGTCACGTGTTCACCCTCCTCCGCCATCTTGCGTGTCATAAACGTCCCATCGTCACAAGATCTGCACGTGAATCTATCGAAATACTCTCCTTCCTTGCAAACCGTCGGCTCAGTGTGTGAGAGAGCCATCTGAACCCCGTGGCCAGGTGGAGCCGGTTGGGGTCTCGATGGGATCTGGGGGTCGCAGTCGTTGATTTTAGCGGTCACAGACAAACGCCGAGACATCAGCAGCAGCAGGAAAACGGTCAGTGTTTGCGTCATCTTGAGGCACGTGATCTAAATACAGGACATTTTAGGATTGTATAGGTGTGAAATTGAGCGTTAGAGACAAAATGTACCTGGAGTGTTTAAATTTGTTTTGTTATCTTATTTTTACCAGATGCTAAAAGAAGTAAAACCGAGTTATTTTGAATAAGGCTATCAAACAAATAATAGTTTCTCTTTCATTGAGGATGGCTTTATTTTCGATCAACTAATAATTGAAAGAAGAAAAAAACGTTTTGTCAATCGTTTGTAGCGTTTCTTTCTATTATGAAACTTTCCGAAGAAAATTAAATCATCTTTTAAAAGTTTTTTTCAGCAGTATTAGAGACCGACCGAATTTTGGCTTCGGTTTTTCGGCTCCAAAAGTGTCCATTTTATCACTTTCGGCCAAGTTTCGGCTTCGGCCGAAACTGAAAAATAACTTTCGGTTTAATTTCGGTTTCGGCCGAAAGATAAAAGTTAACTTCCTTTTTTTTCGGTTTCGGACGAATTTGACTTAGACTTTCGGCCGTCTGGCCGAAAGTGACTCAGGTTTTCGGACATCTAATACTCAGCGAAAGCGATATTTAACAACAAAGTAAGCGACATTTAAAAACAAATTAAGCGATCTTTAAGATTAAACTAATCGATCTTGTAGAACAAACTAAGCTGTCTTTAAGAACAAACTAAACGATCTCTAAAAACAAATAAAGCGACCTTTAAGAACAAATTAAGTGATCTTTGAGAACCATGATCAGAACAACAATTTTGCCACCAATGGGGGTGAGGGAGGCTGGTCTTCGAACGAAATAATTACGTCACCAGCATGGATAGGCTATCGTGTTTTACTAGGTTAAATATTTATACAGTTATATCTTGCAAGCTATTAATGAAAACACATAGCATTAGCATTACGAAAACAGCGAAACATTCTGGTGATATTTTTATTGCCTTATAACATATATTTAGGTGGTAATTGTCTCTATTAGAGCCACAATAATTATTGTATGTATATGTTCTAGGTTGTAATTATATTATAAAAGCAAAAGGAACTCTAGAGTCTATTTTGAATTAAATTCCCCCCCCCTGCCCCCACCCCCCACCCCATTTTTGCCAAAATTTCTAAATAATTATTGTATGTATATGTTCTAGATTGTAACTATATTATAAAAGCAAAAGGAACTCTAGAGTCTATTTTGAATTAAATTCCCCCCCCCCTGCCCCCACCCCCCACCCCATTTTTGCCAAAATTTCTCCTAACACTAATTTTTTTTTTTTTAAATTGTAAAGCAATTTCAATTACTTTTATATTAAAATGGTAAAATCCAAAATATTCATTATATCAAGGGTCTCAAACTCAAATCATCAGGGGGCCGCAGGAGGTAGTGTCTGAGTGAGAGTGGGCCGCATTAAGTAATCCACAAAAAAGCGATTACAACTGTTACAATCTGCTCAAACTTTATAAATAACAATAAAAACATTAAGGGTTCTCAAGAACTAGGATTCACTTTCTTCCACCTACTCACTGTTGCCAGAGACCTGGCAGCACTTCTTTTTACACAGCTGAGCAACTTTGGCTTGAGTTTGAAAGCAACTAAGACTCTCAGTACAGCTTGAAGATCCTCATCAGTAAGTTTGGTCCTGAACTTTGATTTGTTAAAGTGCATAGTGGAAAAGAGCTAGTCACACAGATAGGTACTCCTCAAAAGTCGTATGTTCCGCTTGAACAACCTAAAAATTTCCAGGAAGATTGAGGGCAATGCAATAAAATGTCCATGCTTGTCTGTTTTTCCATGCAGCTCCCCGCGCGGGCCATCTTGCACATTAAAGGAGAAAGGTTCAGCAAAAAGCTGAAAAGTGACTGTCTGTGTTTTGAACTCTAAAAAATGTAGAGACCCAGAATGGGTAAAAAGGCATGAGAAGAAGATTGAGAAAGTTACCAAGCTGACAGGCTCGGAATCGACCTCACTCGTAAACACTAGTGGCAATTTTAATATGGATCCTTTGATAATGTATCAGATTGCTACGATTTACACAATTATGGTTGTGCATTACCCGCCAACTTACTTCTAAAAACTTTTCTCAAAGCCGCACTCTTTGCCATGTTTGTCTCATAAAAAGCTATACAATAAAAACTTTTATTCTCAATTTAAAACGGCTCATACTATTATAATCATCATGAAAAAATAAATGGAAACATTTTTTTTATAAAAATCAGAATTAGACCAGTCGGTGAGATTCGACTGAAACCGTCGCGGAGAGTCACGTTATAGATATGAGAATGGGGGAAACGGGCCGGCGCATTTACACTAAACTTTTCTGTCATGTAGCGGGCCACAAAATATCGTCTTGCGGGTCACAAATGGCTCGCAGGCCGAGAGTTTAAGACACCTATATTTGATGTTTATTTATTAACATTCATGAATATCTCGTTTTTTATAAAAAGAATGTAAATATTTATACTTCCCCCCATCATTTTCGATGTATACAGAATGTATGCGGGAACGAATTTCAAAATATCTAAATATTTCATTTTCGGTTTCGGCTTCGGTTTCAGCCGAAAGTCATTTTAAACTTTCGGCCTATTTTCGGTTTGGGCCGAAAGTCATTTTAAACTTTCGGCCTATTTTCGGCTTCGGCCGAAAGCAGAAAATCACTTTCGGTCTGTCTCTAAGCGGTATGCTTTGTAGTCATTGCGCTAAAAACCCACGTTTATAAATTATAAAATTTCTAAATAGTTTATTTCACCTACAACTTTTCTGGCTATCATCAATCAAATCAATACTTTTTTTTAAAAAATCACTTTACTATTAAGTACACACACGTTAAATGAATCAATTCAGAAACCAGATATCAGTTGAAATAAATGTTGCTGAAATTGTGTAATGTATTTTTTATTGTCGAATTTAATTTATTTGTTGCGAAACATTCCAATTAATAACGGACTACATCGTCTTCAACAAGCAAGCTTTTAAATTGATCGGTGTACGACCATAAAGACTTACATTTGAACGCAATCTTCATACCCTCACTGCAGTCCAAAGGAGAGGATTGATTCTATAAATTTAATATATATATATGTATGAATGTATTTATCCAATGTCAGATCCCTAAATATAAACATGATACTTTTGGGAATTCAAAACACATGTTGGTAAAGCACGCAATTACCTCGACAGCATCTACCTGTGTTGTTTATATATATATAACCATGACATCATAACTGTCTAAGAGACTTCTAGTGGTCTGTTGAAATTTAGCCAAGTCCTGGAGATAAAAATCACCAGGCAACCCAGAACGAATAAATACATAAATCGATTGTGTCACAACTAAAGCCACAGCATTAATTCAGTAGATCGTAAAGATCAATATTAATGGTGAACGTTATTGGTTATACATGGCGGTGGCGTCAAAGTGCATATTAGTTTTAAAAAACAACCCTGGACATGAATATACATGGCGGTGGCGTCAAAGTACATATTAGTTTTAAAAAACAACCCTGGACATGAATTATTGTGCTCTAATGTCATTTAAAAATATCCCGAACTCTGCTTTCGACTGAGCTTTAGGCATCGCACGCTATCCAATGGCATTATGGATGCGCCCTTACATGTCAACTTCGGCGACTATGGATATGAAAATATGAAAACATATTTAAGCAGTTAAATTGGAAATCCAAGTTTTTGGTCCACTCCGTCACTTTTAAACTCTTCAAACAAGAAGAGACAAGAAATACTCGAACAAAAAAAAATGACCAAGGCTTACTGAGACACTAGTGTTTTAAATAGTTATTACGTTTGCGTCTTATTTTAAACCAACAGCCAAATTAACTGTCTTATCTAGATTGTAATGCCTGGTCACAGTCTGAATCAGTGGCGTGTTTTGACTCTTCTTAGGGGAAAAAGGAGGAGGGGCCAAGTCTGATGACACATTTCACTAAAAATGAAAAAAAAAAAAGATGATTAATAACCATGACATCTGGCTAACCAAAAACAGCAATAAAAACTTACGTACTTATAAGCCGAGTGCAAACAATGAAAACTATTGAGATTTGAAAATAAATAAAATAGATAACGTTTTGATTCAATCGAATTATTAAGCGAAGAAACAACAACTAGTAATTAATAGTTTTAAAAAAATAACATAATTCCCTTCGTGTCTCTGTATGGAACAAAGTTACGTTAAAGAAGAAAACCTTTGGACTATACAGCTGTGTCCAAACTATTGTTACACACTTTTCACTATGTGATAGTAGATGGGTTTCCCTTTGTTTTCTTTTTTTTTTTTAATATATAAAAGAGTCTGTGTCCATAGAGATTTTTGTAAGTAGCTGGAATATAAACTATTAAAATTACTAAAACGACCACCAAATTTTTTGGGTTAATACATTCGCTTTTCAGTTGGTAGAAATCTTTCAGTAGCAGAACTTTAAAAAAAAAAAAAATCATGAATAACAGTTATCTTTTTTGACCGGTAATAAATGCTAGTGCTATACGACAGTAAATTTGCCTATGTTTTGTCTGTTAGTGCGATGTTTCTCTCACATAATGATAACTTACTGATAGCGATAACAACAGCTACTAGGCCCTAGACTGCACGCAGTAGCCTCCCCTTGGACAGATAACAGTGAACAGCATGTTGCGTTTTGTTGTTTCGTTGCTGTTGTTGTTTGTTTAATTTTGTTTTTGGGGGAGGGGTGAGTGGACAGGATATTCAACAGAAGTAAAAAAAAAAATGTTAATTACTATTTGCCACTTTTAAATGGAACTGCTACATTATATTTTATATTTTCCAAATCAACAGATATGCTTTAACTGAAACTGGTCCGCTTCAGCTCTGTTCCCAAAGTTATGTTTCAGTGGGACACGATTTCACCTCTGAGCCCCTTGTTTATAATTTGAAAAAACTTCAAAGTATATCGACAATGCAAAATTTCAACACTTTAACATAGCTTTTTCAGTAACGAAAAGAATTATATTCGAAAAAAAAAACGTTAATAACACATGCCTTTCTTTGATTGAGACTAAAGAAAAAACTATTGCATTTACTTAAGACGGCAAGCTGTATAAAATATTTGTGTAACATTGGGTTTGGGGGTGGGGGGGTTGAGGGAAGAATTCAATTATCAAAATGTTTTATAAGATTTTTCTATTCTTTGCCATTTAAAGTGAAATCCATCCCTGTGGCGCTACAGCAGCCCATGTA